GTTTGACATTCTCTCCCATCATTGCAGCAACCTCTACAATTGCATTCTGTACAGTTCTCTCTCCAGTTAGCTTAGGATGGTCGAAATTCACCTTCAAATCCTGAAAAATAAAAAATGTAAAGGGAACTGTCAAAATTAACCGTAAGGAGGCCAAAAGAACATCTCCATTGTTATCCTGCCAGATCGAAGCACAACTTCAGAAGTTCATGATATTGAGAACTACTCGTGAAACCTTGGAAAATCATGATGGTGGCCGACTCAAAGACAATTATGACAATACAATCGACATTAAACTGGAAAACAATAATATATATTACTGTATAAAAATAAACACTGACCAATCTGTTTCAGGCAAGAATAAGAAAAAGTTACTCACCCACAGGTACTCGGGAGCAACTGAAATATTTATTTGAGCATAGACAGCAGCCACAGAACGTTCAAGCTGCAAAGCAGTCTTTGCCAGAGATAAGGCCTACAGCATTTGCAGTGTGCACAAGGCTAACCTCAGTCCTCCTTTTGTAAATTGTAAGGCCGAACATCACCTACAACTAACTACTAGCTAGATTACACATTCAAAGAACGCAACACAAAATCCAGTAATAATAAAGAGAAATCTGCATTCTAAAGCATCTACACATACAACTACTTTCAACACAGCTTAACAAACATGGCTGCCTTGCCCCTCAGGAGGGATCGTCTGTGCTAGACCTCACGGCAAAAGCCTTCTCGTATCTCAACCTTTCGATCTCACTCTCCAGAAAATCGAGAATCGTGTCTGTCACATGATTCGGAGCACACCCGGCATCCAACATCATCCGCAAAACCTTGTACGCATCCTTAACCCGACCCGCCTTCGCATGCACCTCAATGAGCGTGTTATAAGTAACCACGTCCAGATTTATTCCGCCCGCCTTCATCTGCCCGAACAACTCGTCCGCCTTATCAACCCGGCCCGCTTTCCCCTTTTCTTCACTTCGCTTCGCTTCTTTCCGACTCCCGAGCACATTAATCAACGTGTTGTACATCACGACATCTAAATACCCTCCCTCATTCGTCAATTTTTCGAGAATGGCACTCGCCAGGTCAGCACGGCACATTTTCCATAAGCCTTGGATGATAATGTTGTACGTGGCTATGTCTGCCAAGTTAAGTTTCTCCCCCATGGCATCGAGCACGGCCCAAGCCTCCCTAAAGTAGCCCTTCTTCACGAACGAGCTCATGATCGAGTTGTACGTGTAGCTAACGGGGTCCACCCCCATGGATGTGAAAACCTCAAACAATTTGCAAGCGA